CCCCCCCCAGATGCGAAGGCTTCCGCTGGGCGCTGCTCAAAGGGGGGGGCGAAGAATTGTGCCCTTCCCCTCCCATCCCCTCCCCCCCCTTCTCTCCAGGCCGCCTCTGTCTCATCCCCCCCGCTCTCAGGGGGTTCTCCCCCCATCCACCCTCCCTCCTCCTCCTCCTCCTCATCCTCCTCCTCCTCCTCCTCCTCCTCCCTCTTCTCCTCCTCCATCGCCTCTTCATGCCCCCTCCCTCATTTATGGCCTCCTCCTGCCCCCGCGGCGACGACGGCGACGACGACGAGGACGACCTCTGACGCCTGGCGACAGCGATCGCGACGAACGGCGGCGACGAAAACGACACGACGCAGCCTGTCGAGCGTGTCGCCCAGCGGGGGCGGGGACGGACCGCGCGCGGCGCAGCCCTGGCGCCTGCGGCCGGGCGGCAGGGGCAGCGGCGGCGCCAGTCGAGACTTTTCTGCCTGTGCGCAGCTGCCGCCGTTCTTCACGTCGTCGTCGTCGTCGTCGTCGTCGTCGTCGTCGTTGCCGTCGTCGTCGTGGTCGTCGTCGTCGTCGTCGTCGAGCTCCTCTCGGCGGGTGCGTAGAGGTGGGGAAGGGGCGGCGGAACTGCCGCGCCGTCGAAGCTTCTGCCTCGCCGTCGTCTTGAGGCATGCCGTCGACAGCCGCTGATGAGGCGCGAGACTCTGGCTTGAAAACCCTGCTTTCGTTTCACACATGGTTGTCGTGCTCCTCGTCGTGCTCCCCTCGGGTGTGCTTTGAAACGTTAGACCTCTAGACAGCCCCTAGCAGAGGAGAGCGTGGGGCATCCAGCTGGGCTTGCTCCACAGCCCCACCTTGGGAGAGCGCGCCCCTTGCGACACCACGATCATCGCCGCCGTTTGTTTTCTCGCCCTCCCTGGACGCATGGGGCCGTGGAGCACAAAACTGCGCTGTGCAAGTGAAGGCACAAAGTAAAAATGGATGCCAAGTGGCGCCTCAGGAGGCGGGGGAGGGGGACGCGGAGGAGGCGGATGCGGTGGAGGCGCCGGAGGAGCCAGCAGACCCAGCCAGGCCCATCCTGGGCCCTGGACAGGACTGGCGTGTGTGCGCCCCTCTCGGCATGAAGGGAGCGGGACTTGAGGAAAACGGGACCTGGATCCCAGGGCTTCTCCTGGACCAACTTGCCATCCTGAATCGTTTCTTGACTGGGCCCTGGGGCCCGTGAAGGGCCTGAGGGGGTGGGTCAGACGCCGTTGAAGAACAGCATCAGGGCAATTGATTCCCTGAGGACTCCTTTCAGTCGTGGCGGTGTCTTACAGGCCCAAGATGAACGTGTACATGACTGGCGGTGTGTGGCTCCCCAGACATCCCACGATTCGATTCTTCCAATCCACAACCAAGAGGCTTCGACAACCAACTTCCGGGGGGACAACTCGTTGCCCCAGATCTGGTTTTCCGTACTGGCGTTTCGCGAGAGGGTGCACATCGAAACGACATGAAAAGCAACCACAGCTGAGTCTCCCAAAAAAGGATGGGGAGCCCGGGACCGCCTCCCGAGATGGCGATCCGGCAGCCGTGTCGCCCGAGATGTCCTCACACGATGGCCAAGACTACAGTCGGCATTGGGTGGAGAGGACGCGCGAGAGGGCACAGGACCCTTCCGAGGGCTGCACTGCCACAGGCATGTAAGAAGGCATGGGTCGCGAAGCTCAGGACACAAGGGTACCCTCGACTTGGCAGGGTCGACCTACTACACCCCCCCCGATTAAAAAGTTCGGACCGCAGAGGTCGCGGAGTTTCAGCGAGGAGCGTGTCCCGTCAGGTGGCGGATCTCCGATCCATGCCTCATCCCATTTAATATTATAAGCGCCAAGTGGGGCGACGATCGGAAATTCGCATTCCGCCCAATGTTTGCTTCAACAAAACAATCCGACCGCGTTCCAGCGGACCTGAACTTTTCAGAGGCGCTCAGATATCTGCGATTTCGCCGAAGACGTCCCCACACACAAAAGAATCCGGCCAGAGCCATGCTGCTCGGAAGCGTCGTCGTGGCCTGGAATACTCCGCAGCGCGTGTTTACTTATCTGGGAGCGCGCGACTCTGCACAGATTTTTCTGTGTCTGGCGATCGCTGCTCTGCGGCGTCGTGCCGCTGTTTGGCGCGCGGCCTTGTCTCGGGCTCGTCTCGGAGGCCGTGTCCGACACCGGGGGGCCCAGGACCCGTCGAGGGTCGATGCTCCGAGCTCAACTGGAGAGGGGCCCCAGAACACACAGATAAATACACACAAATAAAAGGATTCCCCATATTTTCCCATATCTTCTAGGTTTCTGTCTTCCCCCCCATTTCCCACATTTTCCCATATTTTCCTGGGAGTCGACGATTAATTGTGTCTGTGTGTTTCTTTCCCTCCTGACAATTGGAGAACGACGATGCAAGCGGCCTTACAGGGCCGATCCGGCCTGTTTAATCCAGGAGGCTGCAATCAATCTCGACTGTATGCCGGCTACATGTTTGGCCCAGACGGCCACGCTGCAGGGGACACATGCCCCGAGATGCAAATGGGCCGTGTTCTTGCTCCCGATCCCCCTGTCGCCCACGCCTCTCTCCCTGACCCGCCACGTCACCTCTGCTGCTGCTGCTGCTGCGGCTGCTGCCACGGTGCTTCGCTGGGATGGCCGTTCGTCCAAGTCAGAAAAGAAAACTGCCCCCCTCCCAAGGGAGCGAGATATCAAGATGTTTTATGTCTTCGCTTCATTCGTATCTTGAGGAGGAGGAGGAGGAGGAGGAGGAGGAGGAGGAGGAAGAGGAGGAGGAGGAGGGGAAGAGGAGGAGGAGGCTGATTTTCCCCCCTGGAGCTGAGACTGCTGGACAAAAACGCCAGGATTTGAGAGGCGGCCCTTCGCCTCTCAAAGGCCCCGCCTCTGGTCGGGCAGAGGCTCTCCCTCCCCTCCCCGCGGAGGTTCGGGGGCGGCCAAGAGCGGGGGGGTGCAAATCATGGCCGGCGGGCGGCACGTGCGCGGCCCAAGGAGGGGGGGCCAGGGACGTCATGAGATAAGAAGAGGCGGCATGAAATCTGGTGAGATATCGTGGCCCCCGCCATGATCTCCAATCCCCCCCTAGTCATCAACCCCCTCTTGGCGGTCCCCGCGGAGGTGGCACGAGGGGGAACGTCAGGGGGCGACCGCATCAAGGGCGGGAAGCGTCGAGCCAGGATCGGCGACATCTGCATCGACGATGGATTGGCGATAGGCCTCCGACGACGAGCCCGCACGGTCCTGGGCGGGACAGGGCCTTCGGGCCCCTGTCGGCGACCCACGGGCGATCGGAGAGCAGGAAGAGGAGGAGGAGGAGGAGGAGGGGACAGAGGAGGAGGAGGAGGAGGAGGAGGAGGAGGAGGAGGAGGAGGAGGAGGAGGAGTGGGAGGAGAAGGAGGAGGAAGAGGAGGCGGAAGAGGAGGCGGAGGAGGAGGATGAGGAGGCGGAGGAGGAGTCCTGGGCGGGAGAGGGCCTTCGGGTCCCTGTCGGCGACCCACGGCGACCCCCCGCTGAGCCTGCCCCCTTCCCAACGCTGCCCCCGACCTTCCGCTCCTCGGCTTGTCGGGACGTGCACCAGGCTTCAGGCGGCCGTTCGGGACGACTCGGCAGACCCCAGAAGGCTCTCTCGACAGGGCGCAGGCGTTCAAGCCATCTCGGGCCTCGAAAGCCAGAGAGACTCGGGACTCTGCAAGTAAATGCCGACTCCCTCCAGAGTTTGTCCCCCCACTGACAGCGCGCCAACCTTTCGGGCCACAACTCGGTTCTCTGGAGGCCGTTCGGGACGATCCGGGCACCCCCCGAACGCTCTCGACAAGGCGCTGCCGATGACAGGCATGCTGCGGCTGGACAACCACTGAGAACCCACGAAAACGTCCGAAAAGCTTGAACCTCGACCCTATCCCCTCCCTAACGGCGGCCCTTAAAATCTGAACGCCCGACCTGGATACGAACTAAAAGGAAAAGTACGATACCAAACAGCAACCGTTTCCCGAACCGACAGCGGCCACGGCTGGACAGGCGACTTGTGCCTCAAGTGGACCACCTCCGCGGCGATATCCATGGCGACTCCTGCAACCAGCAGACAGGAGGCTCCTGTCCGCTGCTAGCAGGAATCTCCTCCCTGCACCTCCGGTCCAAAAAGCGGTAAGACCAAGAACTCCGAGCTCCCCTTGGTGTTACCCCTTTTTGGTCCCCGCATCGGCCACACGCAAGGATGACCCCGGGCAAGAGTGACCTCTCGTGCGCGGTTTGCCGGTCGCTGCGTGCCGTGCGGTAGCGGCGGCCTGAGTGCCTGGGCTTGGCCCCCCCCCATGCCAGGAGGTCACTCCGGCGATGAGCCACTCCTACGTGCAGCCGACCCCCGGTGAGAGAGGCTCCCTGTGGTGGTTCAGGGATGGGGTCCTGAGGAGGGTCCTGAGGACGAGGCGCCTCAAGCAGCGTGAGCCCACCCTGGGATCCATTCCTATCATGGGGGCACCATCTCCCAGGACCCTATCTTAGAGGCCTCCAAGATGGGGTCGGAGGATCGCGCGGCATCGCGGATACATCGGCGATGCAGCCGCGATGCATCGGCGATGCGCCTGCGATACATTGTTGACGTCGGCGGTGCATCGGCGACGTCGGCGTGAAGCAAGTCGGGCCCCACATCGAGCCGCATCGCCGATGCATCGGCGATGCGGCGCGATCCCCCGACCCCATCTACTCCGACCCCATCTAGGTGGCCTAGATATCTTTAGACCACCGATCTCTTTTCCCATCCTTGGGACCCCATTAAAACAGGGCTAGGATCGGGATAAATCGCTCCAAAGCGTTCCGGAGCGCTCTCAGAGCGTTCCGGAACGCTCTGGAGCGGCCGCGGCGCCCAACACATCCTCCAAACCCGCCGATTCTCAGAGATTTCGAGTTATATCCCGATCCGATCTTGTCCCGATCTTCGCGTCGTTTCACCCCTCCCCCCAGAAGACCACCGCTCTCTTTTTTGCCCGCCCCGCGGAGCTGGCGGCCGGACGGGCCGGCCCGCTCGGCCGGCCCGCGTCGCTCTGTGGCCGGCCCGACCGCACTGCCTCCGCGCGGGGAGGCCGGCGCTGTGGCCGGCCGGCGCGGGCTCCGAGCGGGCACGCCGCGCTGCCTGCCCCCCGCCGGGGAGGCGTGGGACTCGGGCTAGCCAGCTTCGGGCTCGAGGTGCCTGGCTCGAGATGCCTGGCTAGCCAGCTTCGGGGGGGCTCGAGATGCCTGGCTCGAGATGCCAGATCCGGGGGGGCCCGAGAGTTGGCCTGGCTAGCCAGCTTCGGGCTCACCCCTGTCCCTGACATTGACCGGCCAAGGGGCGACGAGACTCTCGAAGATGCGCCGTGGAAACCTGGCAGACTCCTTGAAACCGGCATCGAGATGAGGCGATGTCAATCAGGGGGATAGCGATATGTGCCAGGCTAGTAACTGAAGGGAGCTTCCCGCGAGTTCCCGCCGCTGCAAGCATCCCAGAACTTCTGGACCGTCGAACTGCAGAACGGGCCAGCAAAGGAGCGTCGGCAAGCCCGGGCTCCGGCGAGCTCGAGACTTACGCCTCCCCGACCCTCGTGGACGAGAAAGGCGGGCACGAAGAGAAGGGGCATCATGGAAGAATACCCATCGGTCGGAATAAGTACGTTGGTAGAAGCAAACAGATAGGAGGGCGTTGAAAGTAGATTTGGTGTCCGCCCGCCCCCAGAAGGAGGGACGAGGGAAAACCACCCGATCATCAAAGTAGGAAGGCGGCTAAAGTAGATTTGAATCTGGGAGTCCACAGATACCTATTATTTAACGACCGATGGGTCACCAAATGCATGAGCACAAACTTGCGAAGCTCGGCGCGGATTTCTTGGGTCGACGCTGGAACCTCTGGCGGCGCCTCCTGCGCCGCCCCTGGCACGTGCCGCGCGTCTGGCGCCGATCAACAGCAATCCGTACGGAGCTCCGAAAGTGTATGTTTATGCGGCTTGCTTTCTCTTCGAGTGCAGCTGGCGCATGCTATAAGAGAACTCGGTATACGAAATCTGGGGCCAGGACCCTTCGTCGACTTGAGCTTTGCCCGTCGAGGCATGACAAGAAACTAGATGATCGTGGGCACCCGCTGGCAGGCCGATTTCTCTTATCTGATATGCCCACTGTACGGAGGGCAGAAGAGCCACCTTCATGATGACAACCATTCACGAACCGATCCCTACCCCTAAGATCGACGAGCCAAGATGGCATGACAATCTTCTGGATGCGCCCTCATAAACTGAGGGAATCGTTCAGATCAGCGCCCAAATAAGGCGATGCCAATCATAGGGATTGGGGTATGTTCCAGGCTGGCAAGAGAAACATCACATGCAAATAAAACCTTGCAACTTTTAGTAATTACTCCCACGGAACGATTGGGGACTGCTCCGTAAACGCCTGTGGCGGTTCGGCAAACGCCAGTCGTGTGGGGTCGGGTGGCTTTTCCTCCCTTGGAAGTGGGGAGCGGAGAGGAGCGGAGCAACGAATGCGTCCCAAAGGACGGCCCCTACAGGAGCGCGGCGGTAGGGCCGCAGCCCTCGAATGGCGATGAGGAGAGCAGGAGCGGGCGGACGAGAGGAGGAAGAGAAAGGGTGAGGTGGCGAATAGGGTGGCAGACAGGAGCACGAGCAGAGGCGAAAGGTGGAGGGATGAGGAGATGGAGTCTGGCTCGGACTTGGCATGCGCAGATGCTCCAGACGAAGGGGGAAGCGGGCAGACGGCCGCCTCCACCTCAAATGCGGCCGCGCCGCCTCCCAATCGCCCTCTCCGAGGGGCGGCCAAGCTGGCCAGCCCCAACTGCGCGGCCGATCTGCGCTCCAGGCCCCGCCTGGGGGACGGGGGACACTTCGAGTTCACGATCTCTCGAAGTCAAGAAGGTGCCGAACCTGATCGCTGGGGTGCCGAACCTGATCGCTGCCCCAGAGGAGGTGGCGCTTGGCTCCTCCTCGTGACGACTTGCGCGCTGGCCTCTGACGCCGCGGGGATGGCTCCGCCGTGACAGAGCCCGGCTTGCCGATGGCGCGGATGTTTCGACGTCGGCCGACTCCTGGCCACTGGCGGCGTTCGGCCTCGACCTGCCGCGCCAGGGCCGCCGACACCACACGCACGCACCGTATCAAGACAGGCCCCCAGTCGCGGCGCCAGGCCTCATCCATGGGCAGCCTGAGAGCCTCTGGACTTGCGCCTGCGCAGCCTGTCAGGCAACCCGCCGACTTGGTGACTAACGCGCGCAGGTGTCTGCTAGGCCTCCTCCCGGCACCGGCTGTTCGCCTCCGCGGCCCACGCCGCTTTTGGCTGGCTGCTGCCGAAATGGCCCCACACACAAAAGATCACCATCATGCTGTGCACGCGCGATCTCCTCGGTCACCTCGACCCTCTGCGCCACCTCGCCCGCTCGCTCACCAAACTCGGCTGCACCTGCCGTCGGCCCCCCTGGGACGAACCTGGTCCGAGGCGCCGCGTCGGCGCCGCGAGCATGCGCTGCTGAGCGGCTCTCCCCAAACTTCTGAGCCGACTGGGTTGCCAAGGCAGCCGAGTCATCTCATTCACCACGGCCCTCGGGGCCACCGCGCCCGCGCGCTCAGAAGACGCGACCGCTGGCAAACTGCCACAACGCGCCTCCCGTTGGATGAACATGACGGGAGCGGAGTACACCCTGCGAAATGCTTTAGAAATCATGGCTTAAGAAATTCATAGTCTAAGAATTTGAATAAAAACCCAAAAGGTCTATTCAAATCTTGGGATTCACATTGAAACATTAAGAATAATCGAGACTCTGGCCGAAAACTTGGGTTTTCTGAAGCATCGCCTAGAGTGTACAGGTCGTCCACACGAAGGACACCGCCAGGGCCACGAGCCCGGCCTCTCCCCACGCTGCCGAGCCCCTCGTGGAGTCCCCCGTGCAGGTGGTAAGTTGCCTTCGAGCGCCGAGCCAACGAACGAACGAACGAACCACCACTGCGGACAGCTGTCCGGGCCTGCTCGAGACCTGGTGGAGGAGGCCGTAGCCTCTTCAAACCTGTAGATATGGACTACACGCGATCATGCCTATGGACAGCGAGACAATAAAACAAATCTGCGACGGAGGAGTGGAGGATCGCCGAGCCAAGGACCCTGCCACGGGTATTCGGGCTCCTCGACTGGGGCGCCTGCGACCCCGACCCTCTCGAAGACAACTGCGTGGAGAGTTGAGCTCCCGCGCAACCGGTCGGCTTTGCTAGAGGAACAGAAGCCTAAAATGAATGTCTGGGAGGTCTTCGAAGATTCCTTTCTGTGGTCGGTGCTGGATCCGCCTCCTTGGCGCGCGAAACGCCCCCCAACGCCGGTCCTGGAAATTTGCGCGGACCTCCGAGAAAATATATTTATGTGTGTGTTGTTGCTCGATTTGCTAACCGGCAGAGCCGACACGAGCCTGTCCGCTGGCTCGGGGACACCGACTAGTCACACAACGAAGTGCGGGCCCCTGCAAATGGGACGGCGAAGCCTGCTGCAGCTCAACCTGACCTGATATATTATGTATGGCTAGATTGTCAGACTCGCAAACCCAACCACGCCGTGTACTTCTCGCTGACGCCTTCCCGCTTCGGCGAGGCTAGGCCAAACACGCATACGCCAACAGGTAAGGACATCAGCACAACTCAATTATGCTGAGAGCTCAAAACCTGATTCGGATGGCACGTTTGATCCGATATTCGCCACGTTCGGATTCCAGGGCCACCGAAGATATCATGTTCAGGGTTTGCGCCGAGGCTTGGGCTGCAGTGGACTTGATCCTGCAGTTGTGGACAACCATCCCTGCCTCCCTGGGGATTTGAGATCGTAACCCAGCACGTCTGATCTGACATGTCCGTGATTCCCTACAGTGCGGGTGCGGCCGCAAGAACCCCTCGCAAAAAACACAACACTGAGAACCCGCGCGCGAGGTGCACCGGAGGGAAAACCCGGAGCACCCTGAACGCAGCAGCTCCTTCAGCGGCCGCGGGAAGTCGCCGCGCAGCGCGAGGAGCAAAGAAACCCAGGATACCCTGACGAAAAGCGTATGGTTTCTTGATGCGCGCCCCCACTGCAGTGGATATGTCGAGCGAGAGGCCTGGCGCGACACAACGAGACGTAGCGGACGGCAGAGCGGCGGGACGGCGAGGCACCTTCTCCCGCCGCCTCGCCTCGGCGAGGCGCGCCGCGTGGCCGTCGCGCCGTCCTCTGCACGCATCCGCCACGCCGTCGCGCGCAACCATGCTGACCGTCGCGCGCACCGTCGCGCGCAACCGGAGCCAAAATCGCTTCAGGAGGATGGCGGAGTGGGGAGAGGGAGGTGAGGTACGCATGCGGGGAGGGGCGGGAGGCAGGGCAGCATGCAGCGGGCGAAGAAGGAGGTAGCATTTTGTTTCCGCGAGAGGGGGTGCCTGTGCACGGTTTCCTCCGGGGCCGTAGGCGACCCGAGGAGGAGAAGGAGGAGCAGGATGAGCAGGAGGAGGAGTAGGAGGAGGAGGAGGAGAGGAGGAGAGGAGGAGGAGGAGGAGGAGAAGGAGGGAGGACGGGTCGCCTAAGCCCTGCGGGGAAACCCTCCAGGTGCCTGTCGCAAGGCAGCTGGAAAATATCATCCCACCTGCCACCGTAAGGGTATACACTTTCCATCTGCCCTGGGACAGGCGCCTCCGATCATGCACCAATAGGCTATACCGTTCGTCGCCCTGGAAAGTACGTGCAATGGACAGGGTGCCACATGCGAACTACCCCTACCCCCTCCGACTTCTGAGGGGGAGGAGGGGTTCACATGTGAACCCCACCCTCCCCGCGAAGTGAACCCGACCCTCCCCCTCTGAAGTCGTGGGGGTAGGGGTCGGGTTCGCATGTGGCACCCTAATGGAGGCATGGGCGGAGATAGGCGGAGGAGATACAGATAAAAAGAAACACACGGGCGTCAGGCAGACCTGGCACGTCATGTCGCAGCGCTTTCCGCAGGTCCAGTGCCACCAGGGACCCCCTCAGACTCAAAACCTTCAGCGCCAACAGCGCCTTCTCTCTCCATCGTACCCTGCCTGCGGTAGAAAACAATGTAGGCCTCTGCTCGGAGCACCTCTGCGCGATCGCACTTCCACACCTTCGCGTCGCTTAAGCCGAACCACTGCTCCTTCGCCAAAGAAGGACCGTTGTTGACATAAGCCACGTAGTGCCCTTTCTGCATCTCGTCGCCTCTGTGCTCGCAAAGGGCATACAGTTCGTAGTGAGAGGAGACGGAGCCCTCTCGCTGAAGTCGTTCCAGCAGGCTATTGATGCTAAGACCTCCCCTACTCCTCCGCCTCCTCCGCTCCCTCTCCCTCCGATTCTTCTCCCTGCCTCCAGGGTTGAACCCTCCCCTTTCATCAACTACTCCTCCCTACTCCTCCATCCCCAACTACTACTGCTTTGTTATCGCAACCTTCCGGTTGCTCCACCAGATCCACCTGTCTATCACTTGCATCTCCTTTCCTCCCTCCACATCGACTGCCTCCCCCCGTCCACCTCTCCCTCCCCCATCGTTATTCTCCCTCCTTTCCCTCATCCTCCTCGTCGTCCTACTCTCATTCTCCCTCATCTCCCTTGTCCTCACTCGTTCCTCCTCCAGCTTGGCCAAGACAGACCATCGGCAGTTCCGTCGTCCGCTCGAACGCAGGCAGGTGCCAGGCTCTTCAGCTGCGCATGGGATAACACAAACTCCTCGAGATCCAGGCAGGCTGGCACCGCAACGCTGAGCTTGGACTTCTCGTACTTCCCAGAGTAGCAGCGGAACCGCTGTATGGACCTGACTCTCAAGCTGGCAACACCTGATGCATCCCATCCCTCACGATTCCGAAACGAACGGAACGCTGGATTGAAACCCCGTGATACCAATCGAGCGATCACTCGATCCAACCACCGAACACCAACAAAACATGATGCTGCCATGACAATCGGCGACCGACCGACCTGCCGCAAACAAACCTGAGGGAAACCCGCACATAACTATAGATCCTAGCGTCCTACCGCGCATGCGCAGAATTCTGAGTGGACGGCAGGGTCAGGAGCGGAGGCAGATCGGTGGGCCAGAGCCACACCCTGCGCGAAGCGAACGTCCTGCCGCTCTTGTCGCCAGTCGGGCAGCACCTCCGGCAGCGATAGGTGGGCTGGTAGTTGTCCTCCAGGGCCTCGACGGCGCCGAACTCCCTGAAGCAGTCCTCTGTGGGGCCCGCTCCCCCGCCCACCCCTGGATGGCCGAGCAGCTCGCACAACGAAGGCATGCTGCGAGGGCCAAAGGGCAAGTGCCGAAAGGATGCTGGAGACCCAGAACGGGGTTCATCAGGTCGTAGGAAGACGCTTGAGGTAGAATGAGATCTGTGTCTAAAACATACAGAATTACTTTCAACGACCACCGTGCACAAAAATCCAATGATCTGCAATTGAAGAAACGGAAGTCCCACCAGCCCTCTGGGCGTCGGTGGTTTAGAGCGTTTCCTCTTCCACCCCTCCCTCTTCCCCTTCGGGGAGGGGTTTACCCCTCCCCCTACCCCCTCCCCACTGACCTGGACAGGAGGGGCGGGGAGCGGTCAGAACGTCCAAAACGGCCTCGGCGAGGAAGCCAAAATCATTGATTTTACTATGGTTTTGGCCCCATTTTGGCCTTCTGAGGGGGCAGGGCTAATTAAAGCTCCCCTCTTCTTTGAAGCCAAAATCGTTGATTTTACTAAGGTTTTGGCCCCATTTTGGCCTTCTGAGGGGGCAGCGCTAATTAAAGCTCCCCTCTTCTTTGAAGCCAAAATCATTGATTTTACTAAGGTTTTGGCCCCATTTTGGCCTTCTGAGGGGGCAGCGCTAATTGAAGCTCCCCTCTTCTTTGATCGATTTCCTCCAAGATGGCTCCAAGAAGCGCCCAGGAGGCACCAAGAGGCCCCAAGATGGCCCCAAGATGGCCCCAAGAGGCCCCCAGGAGGCCCCCAAGAGGATCCCAAACGGCCCAAAGAGGCCCCCCCGAGGCACCCAAGACGCCGAAAAGCCCCTCAGGACGACCCTCTACTCGCCTGGGCGTCGTTTCTGGACGGGCTGGTGGGGATACTTTTTTGTTTTTGTTTTTTGTTTTACAGCCGCAGGCGGAAGCGCCAGCGGCGGGAGGTCTGGTGGGGATACGCGAAGCGTCTAGAATTAGGGTATTGCCCGCCGCCCAGGAGAGGAGGAGGAGGAGGAGGAGGAAGAGGAGGAGAAGGCGCAAGAAGAATTCGATGGAATTCGCTGATTTTCACCGCGTGGGAGGAGGATGAGGAGGAGGGGGAGGATGTGAGAACGAGGAGGCGAAGGAGGAAGAAGAGAATGGGAACGAGGTGGAGGAGGAGGAGGAGGACGAGGAGGAGGAGGTGGAGGAGGAGGAGGACAGCCGAGCGGGGCCACCCCGAGTCCTCTACCCTCCGGTGCAGCGCGTCCGCGCCTGCCGCGCCCGGCTCGGCCGACGCGAACGTGCTCTGCAGGGACGGCGGCAGGGACCTCTTTTCGGCGGTGAGCGTGGGGGGAAGTGAGAAGGAGAAGGCCCCCTCAGAAGGCGGCGGGGCTTCTCAAATAGGGAGCCCACAAAGGACGTACGCGCCTAGCTATGTACATGAACACGGCCCCTCGATCCGCGAGACCGGCCGCGTTATACGAACATTTGCGCAATGCGTACTCTCGAAACCAGCGTGGATTCATGTACATGTACGTCCTTCTTTCGCTCCTGATCAAAGCCCTCTGGCCTTCTGAGACGCTTTCTGCATCTTCGGGGGAAGCTCAGAAGACTCTCCAGAAGACCGGGGGACCCTCGAGCCTTCGGAGAAGGCCTGCCCACTGTCCCTTCTCCCCAGGGCTCGCCGTCGATCGACGTAAGGCTCGGGTTCGGGGAGCACGGGTTGGCCAGGCAATGCCGTCGGACAAATGGCGAGACCTCGTCTGAAGTTTGACGCGAACTCTCACTGCACATCTCCCACGGACACTGGGCCGTCAAAATTCAGGACGGGCTTGTCCCTAAAAGCATCGGCTAATCAGAACTCCGGCAAACTCGATTCAATTCAGCACGGATCAGGCTGCAAAAACTAGATGACGCCAGGACATCACCAACCCGGCAGGCCAGGGTCATGTCTCCGAAACGTGAGCGTCGTGTCTCGAGAAATCAGGCAGTGGCTGGCCGATATAGAACATTCAGGAACTCAGAAGGGATCGCCCGCATGTCGACCGCACCTGCTGTGGAACCGCTCATCGACGGGGAATGATGGCAGGGCCAGCCGGTAACTAGAAACCACTTATTACCCCTAAACGCTCCTTCAGAACAAGCCATGGCCAGGACAAAATCAGACCGGAACACATCGGGAATCTCTGACATCTGGCGGTTCTGGAGGATATATCGGGCGCCGCGGCCGTTCCAGCGCGCTCTGCGAGCACTCTGGAACGCTCTGGGCCGATGCATCCCAGTCCTAGTCCCGCCCGGGAGAAACCCTCGCAAGGAACCTGGCCGCGGAACTCCGCGCGTGAGGTGTATAACTGGGAGGTGGAACGCAAAGATCCCCTGAATGCCGCAGTTTCGTCACGCCAGCGGGAAGCTACCGCGCAGGGCGCGGAGCAACGAAGATTGAGATGCCCTGTCTCTCGCAGCGTGACCCCCTGAGGTCTAACACCCTCCCGCGGGACCCGCTTTTCATCCTGAGCCGGTTGTTGACAGCCCTGGGGCCCGCCGAGGGCCCTCGGAGACTGAAAACGGCAGCAACCACTGCCGTCGTGCTTTCTTCAAGACGCGACGGGGTCTGGGATGGTCGGCCGGCCAGAGGGCAAGTGGCCGACCCCCGCTTGTTGGCGCTGGTCCCCTCTGCTGCGTGCCGCCAGACCTGTGACAGGACACGGCCGTCCGGCGGTACTCGGCGAAGGCTCGCCTCGGCTGCTTGCGCGGGCGGGATCGGGGCGATTGGAGGGCGCGCACGAGCGAGCGCTCGCAATCGCGAGACGACGAGGGACTGGAGGGACCTTTGAGGAAAGGCATGCGAGTCCATACCCCTGCATGGCAGACTTCTGAAGCACCGGCGGGGGCTCAGAATAGGCAGGATGTCCTTGCCTGCAGCCCAAGGCCTTGCTCGGGAGAGCCCCAGGGCCTGGAACCCACTCTTCCCTCCCCTCTTTCTCGGGCGCTTCTTTCTCGGGAGGACACGCGAGAGGACACAGGAACCTTCCGAGGGCCACGCTGCCAATGCAACAGGCATGGGTCGCGAAACACAGGACACAAAGGGTACCCTTGAGCGGGCAGGGTCGGCCCACTAACCAACCTACGTAATCAGACTGTACACGGGGGGGTGAGCTGGAAGATGGGTGCGCCGCTCGTGCTCCTTGGGGGCCCCAGGGGGCCCTGGAGGGCCCACGAGGGGGCCCGTCTCTTCCTGCAGCCCTCGATCCCCCCCCCCCCAGTTGCCGCCCCCTCCGCAGCGAACCGCGTGGCTCTCTTCGTCGCGGGGGGTGCGGCCGAGCGCCCGCGGCGCGAGGCGAAAGGGTGGCAGTCAGGGAGGCGAAAGGGACGGAAGCCGACAGCCGTCCCGAGGGACGGCCCTGCCGAGGGAGCACGGCGCCGGCGCGGGGGCGCCGGCAGAACGTCGGCCCCGCCCCAGAACGTCGGCCCCACGCATCGGCCCCGCGAGCACCCTGCCACGAAGTTGCCGAGAGGGCGGAGGCCGCCGACGACGAAGCGCCACGAATCGAAGGCGCGACCAGGAATCTCTCCAGGGCCGCGCGCGCCGCCGGCGTGCCAAAGCGCGGCTCGCGCGCGCGCGCGTTTGGGCGCGCGCGCGGGGGCGCTCAGCGGCCCCGAGTTATAGGGAGACGCGCGGTAAGAATGCAGGGGTCCCGGAGGGCCATGTCGTCACTTTGCGAGCGGGGCGCGGCCAAGGATGGACCTCCTCCCCTCCTCCTCCTTCTCCTCCTCCGCCTCGTCCTCCTCCTCCTCCTCCTCCTCCTCCTCCTAGGATGCAAAGGTAAAACTGTGCATCCTTACTGTGCTGGTTGACTGTAACGGCGGGTGCGGGGCTGATGCCATGGCGAGCTGGTTGGAGGGCGTCGACTGACTCCACCCCTGCAGGGATCCTGGCCGGGCCGGTTTCTGGGCCCCAGGAGAGGCCCGGGGCCGGGATCGGTGCACGTGTGTGTGTGTGTGTGTGTGTGTGTGTGCGTGTGTTTGTGCGAGTAGAGAGAGGAGCTGGCGACCGGCACCCGGCGGGCCGCCCCCGAGGTCCTCTCCCGCCGCGGCCGCCCGCCCCCCTTTCGAGGAATTGCATGAACATAAAAACTCGGAAGTCCGCGCGGATTTTTCGGATCCGAGCTGGAACACCCTCCCTGGCGGCGCCTCAGGCGCCGCCCCTGGCGCGCGGAGCGCGCCAGGGAGGCAGGTCCAGCGCCGATCAGCGAAATCCGCGCGGACCTCCGAGATTTATGTTTATGTCGTTATTCGTTCCCCTATCCTCGGCCCCTATTCTGGTGCCGAGTATGACGAGCGGGCAACGCACATGCATACCCATACCTATACGACCACCATTCGGGTGATAAGGATTTTCTGTTGGGAGAATCCAACTGAGGACAAATGCGATGATTATGGTGGCGATACTGGTGATGCGCTTACGAGTTGGCGACGATGGAAGACGACGATGCTGACGACAATACATTATGGCAATGGACTCACACACTGGCGACGCTGGCGAAGAAGCATGATGGCGATGATGACAGTGGTAATTGTTTGGCCCCATGCACCTTTGACGATGATGAGGATTGTGATGATGAGTGTGGTGACGAGTGTGTTGATGAGTGCGATGACGCTTGCGGTGATCGTGGTGGCGAGTGCGGTGGTGAATGCGATGATCGTGGTGATCGACCCCGTGCCGGGCGGTGTTGAACCGCTTGGCTTCTCTGGTTCTCTTCGATCTCACCCCCCAAGTCTGACTATCGATCTCACTAGCGATGCTGGATGCCACCTCGACGCGATCGGGGCACCATCGGGGCACCGCCATACCATCGGGACACCACCGGATCACCGTCGGAGACACATCCGGACACTATCAGGACACCACCGCGGCACTATCGGGACACCAATCGAATCGCCTACGGGTACAACACCAGGACACCACCAGGGCACCATCAGAAAACCAATCGGGGCACCTATCGGGACACCACCGGAACAGCATCGACATACCATCGACACACCACCGGGGCACCATCAGGACACCAATCGGGACACCAATCGGGACACCAATCGGGACACCGACGAGACACCAACGGAACACCGACAGGACACCGACGGCGGGACACCGACGGGACACCGACGGGACACCGACGGGACAGCGACGGGACACCAACGGGACACCGATGGGACACCGACGGGACACCGACACCACGACGGGAGAACCCCGGCCACCGTCCACGGCGTCCACGGACACCGATGGGACACTGGTGAGACACCACGGCGGGACACCATAGCGGGACACTCCGGCCACGCCGGCCCACCGGAGGGGCGGGGTCTTTTGTCTTGCCCGCCCCAGCCACAGCGGAGTCATTCCACTCGCCCGCCCACGCATCTTCGCCTCGCCCGCACGTGCGAAACGAACCCGAAACCGGAACCGATTTCCCGGTGGGGGGCTCTCCGTTCCACTTCGATCTCATCCTCAACCTCCAACTGGGGTCGGAGGGAGCGGGACTGGCTATGGGTACGGGAGCGGGTTGTCGGATTCTGGGGGAGGCTTCCGTTCGAGTGGGACCCCTGTACGCCAACACGCATCCATAGCCCTCCTATGGGTATGTGTATATTGTTCGTTCGTCAATTTATGACCGACCACCGAACCACCCCGAGCCTACTCGAAGTCGCCATTGGGCCTGTCAACTTCCAGTGGGGGGGGAACATGCTGGAACGTCGAGCAAAGACAGACAACACACACACACACACCTGCAACTTGGGGGTCTGGGACCTACGTGTTTGGTTGGGGTGCCTTGGCGAGTAATGAAACCAGCCTAGTCGCAGCCCGGCCCATCTTTACTGAACTTTGCGAGCGCCGAGTCCGCGAGGCCAACAGGCATTGTGAGTTGGCGGCCTCCGAGCATGGGGAGGCAACGCGTCGCCGTGCAGTCTTCGGAGCGCTCGCCCCGAACGACTAGATCAGGGCGAGACCGACGGAGACGAGGCAAGAAGCGGCAACGAGGAGGTGTCCCCGACAGTGTGGGCCCCAGGACTCCCGACCTACCAGGCCGGCCGGCGCGGCGGAGAAATGGGCGGTCGCCCGATGATGAAGGATGCGGGAGGGGGGGGGGCGCTGAGGGGGAGGAGAAATTACTTGAAACAAAATGATTCTTCATCATTCGCCACAACGCCTGTTCCCAGCTGCGCCGCGCCCTCTCCCCCCCACCCCTTGGTCCCGTCACGACTCGCACCGGCGCCGTCTGAGAATTGGCAATTCCTGAGCATTCCCAGACGGCGCTGGCGCGAGACGTGACATTACCGGGCTCATCCACCCCGCCAGGGGATAAGCAAATCGTCTCCAAGCGCGTCCCGAGGGAGATGGGTGCCGAACTCTGGTGGGGGGCTCTGCCCAGGACAAGCATGCCATCCCGCATCGTTTTCCGAAAGTCCTGGGCCCCATGAAGGGCCCCTGGAAAGCGAAAACGGTCCTCCTCCTCCTCCTCCTCCTCCTCCTCCTCCTCCTCCTCCTCCTCCTCCTCCTCCTCCCTCCTTCCCTCGCTCCCTCCCTCCCTCCCTCCCCCTTAGGACCCGTTTACTTCATGAAATGGAGAGAGGAGGATGGAGGTGGCAAGGAGCTGGTCGTCGAAGAGCGGCCTGCCTGCACCTGTTGACATGACAAAAAGGGTTTCTGTTGGCCCCATGGGGTCTCCCTGCCTGGGTCCTCAACCCGAGGCCGCGCTAACGGCGATGTTGGTTAACGGCGATGTTGGGAATCCGATTTCTGTGACACCGAGCTCGCGCAGAACGAATGGTAGGAAATCGCGAACCACACTCTCCTACATTTCAAATCTGCGATATGTATCGAACGGACACGACACGGCGAGTTGTAGGAAAACACGGACCACGCGCTCCTACAAATTGCTTTGGCCACGGGCCACGCCTTCCTACAATTGGATGTCCTACTTCGCCGCCAGCGAACACACCGTTAGCGCGTCCACGGTGAACTCACCCCCTACTCTCTCCCCCCTCTGCCCCTCTCTCCCTTCTCCCCACCCTCCCCTACCATCCCCGCTCCCTTCCGTTCTGCCTCCCTGCCTCGCTCCCTCCCTGCCTCGCTCCCTCCCTGCCTCCTGCTCCTCCTATCATGCGTCCCCGTGATCCTCATGCCCCATCGCCCTCCGAAACCTCCTCTCCCCCGCCCAGTCTGCCACCGCCACCCCTGCCTTCCAGACAAGCGAGGTCTTGATTTTTCAATGCGCGGTGCCCGAAAGTCCCGACCCTTTCCCCAGGGCCTGTTGTTCACCCCAAGTTGGCCCGGCGAGGGCCCCCAGAAAATGAGAATGGCCACAAACTGACCGTCGTGATCTTTTCACGACGCGAGCATGTCTGGGCTGCTCCTCTAGGTTTTCGTCTTCCCCCCACTGTCCACATGTTCCCATCTTTTTCCTGGGAAGCGACGATTCATTGTGTCTGTGTGTTGTTGTCCCCTCCTGAAGCCCACCCCTCGCCCTGAGAGCCGATCCCTTCTGCGAGCCCGCGGTCGCCGGTCGGCCTCTTCCGCAGCCAGCCGGGCCGCCTCCTTCTCCGCCTCGCCTTCGGACTCCTTGGGAGGTGAGAGATGGGGGGGGTAAGGGAAGTGGGGGGAGTAGAAGGGGATCGATGACTCTCAGAAAGTATGTTGACGCCGACGTGTGTTTGTCCACCGAAGCCCTTCATCACGCAGGCGGTGTAATGCCGGCGACTCTGGCTGCGTGCTTTCGGCGGAGCTGAACGGGGTAAACAAGCATTTGGGCTAAGACACATCCTGAACATCATCGAGGAGAGTGGGGGGAGCGGATGGGGAAGGGTCTATGGACGGCAGCGGGGAACAGTGGAAGGAGGGGAGAAGGGAGGGGAACGGGGGGAGGAACGGCACGGATGGTGTGGGGGAGGGACGTCGCGTGGTTACGTACGGCAGGTTCGCGTCGTGTCGACCCCGGCGTTGGTTTCTGACACCGCGCTGGATCGTTCAACCTTGAACGATCGGCCATTTCCGCAACGTCCAATCGTTCAACAACGAACGATTCTGGGCCGCCGCCAGCGTTCAACCTTGAACGCCCACGCCGGGGTCGCCGCCGGTCGACACGACGCGAACCTACCGTATGGAAATCAGGAGAAGAAGGGCATGGGAGGAGCAAAAAGGATAAGGAAAAGTGAATGGAAGAGAGAAGGGGAGGGCGCGTCCTCTGGGAGTAGATCTCCAGCCTGCGCCCTGGCTACGAGGGTCTCCAGCCGCGCAAAGCGGAGCTCGAGGCTATCCTCTGGGACCAGCAGAGGGCCCATCAGCGACCAGAGGCAATGGTTTCTTCAACATACTTTTCCCCCTCCTCCCCCGTGTCGCCCTCCCCCCCCCTCCTGTTTCCACCCTTCCCCTCCTCTCCCCATCCAGTTTCTGCTCCTCCTCGTATGCTCCTCTTCCTCCTCCTCGTCCTCCTCCCCCTCCTCCTCCTCCTCCTCCTCCTCCTCCTCCCTCCTCGTCCTCGTTCTCCTCTCCTCCTCTTCCTCCTCTTTCTCCTCCTCCTCCTTATCCTCCTCCTCCTCCTCCTCCTCCTCCTCCTCCTCCTCCTCCTCCTCCTCCTCCTCATTCCTTCCTCCTCCATATCCCCCCTCCCCCGTCAATATCCCTGCCCCTCCTTCCCCTCATCTGTCCCATCCCTTCTAATCCCTCTCGCCTGCACTGTCCTCGCGAAACGTCCCTCCTCCTCCCCCCCTCCTCCCCGCCCGCCAACCTCCTTCTTACCCCCATCCCCTGATCCTCCTCCGAACCTGCTACTCCTCCCCTTTCTCCTCTTCCTCCCCCTCTTTCCAGTTCGCCCGTCCCGTTTCATCCTACCTCCCTTCTGAAGTTCGTCCTTTTTCCTCGTCCCTCACATCCCTACCCTGTCAGAAACCCAGTCTCGAGTGTTAGTCTGGTGGGGCTCATTCCTCTGTGCCTCCCCGTGGCACTTAAGGAACTGCACTGAGTTCCTTTTCGTTGCAAAATGTATATGTAACGCACGTTCAGTCTCGGCCAAAGCAAGGGAAATATCTGCTTCAATTCAGAATGATGGCGTCGCCCAAAGCCGAACTGCTCCGGGCGAGGTGCGCAGCGTGTCCCACATGCAAATACAACGGCGTGCCGCCCAAGGCTGGCAACGTATGCAGAGGATGTATTTATTTTGTAACTATCGTGTGCCACCCTTTTGCGGAAGGTCTTCGTCCCGCACTCGTGTCCAGATCGATCTGAAAGGGGAGCAGGACAGGACGCTGTACCACCCGCGTGGGATCCTCAAATGCACCAGCGTGTTCGGCTCGGACGAGTCCTACCCATATTGCAACGCTGGCAAACGTGGAAAGGGGGAAGGATGGCGTCAAGGAGAGTGACGGAGGCTTTGCAGGTTTGCTGCATGGATCCCGCCGAAGGCCTTCGCCGCCCCGGCTGAATATACAAAGACGCTGAGCATCGGCATGGTCAACGCATGGCACACGTTCTACGGCTACGACAGAAAACGAAGACGGCTGACAAAAAGGAAACGAAGGCGGCCAAGGCGGTCGCCAGAGCCCCGGCGCGGGGCGAGTGGGCTGGGTCTGCACGCGAACGAGTATGGATATGAGGTTGGCCGAGGTATGCGTAGGTCTGGGCGTGAGTAAGACTGGGAGGAAGCATTTCATGGTGGCGAAGGTGCGGGCTGCTCTGAATGTACGTTTTCCCTGGGGCGGCCGGCAGCTTCGCGTGCTTTGCAAGGGCCGTGGGAACGGCTCCCACAACGCCGGCTCAGGAGAAATCACCGAGGAATACCGCAAGGCGTTGAGGCGCCACGACCTGAGGGCATGTTGTTCCTGCGGAAGCGTCTGTGCAGCCCGGCCAGCTCCAAGAGGTCATGCTCCACGAGACCGCGGTGTCGTGGATGCGGGACATGCTTACGAAAACGCTCCCGAAGCGGTGCCGGGAGGAGATCCTGTAAGAGTACCGCGCCCAGCTGAAGGCCTGCGCGGCGCAGATCAATAGCGCCTGTGACGTCGACGGCCTGTGCCACGAGATGCCGCTCAGGGTCCAGGCCCTGGACCACCGCCAGAGGGACTTCCTCGCCGACCTGTTCGCTGAAAAATAACGCATGTCAAATAGAAACTTTCGCACCTGTCTGTCAGTCAGGGGTGTACCCCTCCCACCTACCCCATCCCCTGGACCTGGACGGGGCGCCCCGCGCGATGTCAGAGGGCACATTTTCTCCCAAGATGGCTCCAAGGGGGCCTCAGGGAGCCCAAAATGACCTCCAAGATGTCTCAAGATAGCACAACCCAGACGGCTCCAAGACGCCTCCAAGACCTCCAAGGATGCCTCCAACAAAAATCAAAATCCTTCCAAAACCTAAGGAACATCACTGATGTTGTCCTCTTCGCCCTTTCGCTTCCGATGGCCATCCGAGGCCTCAAGATGGCCCCAAGATGGCCCAAGGATGGCCCAAGGGGGGCCGAGGAGAGACCCAAGAGAGTCCCACGGCGGCCCAAAGAGCCAATATTCCCACTCTCCTTCTTCTCCTCCTCCTCCTCCTCCTCCTCCTCCTCCTCCTCCTCCTCCTACTGACTTGTTTGCTGCCACTGATGACGTGTGGTTGAATCCCGGTATTCCCGATATTCCTCCTCCTCCTCCTCCTTGTCCACTGTCTCTTACTCATTCCCCCTCTTCGCCCTCCTCCTCTTTCTCCTCCTCCTTCTCCTTCTCCTCCTCGTCCTCCTCCTTCTCCTCCTTCTCCTCCACCATCCTCCCCCTCTTGGGGTATCGGACGTCTTCCCCCGCCCTTTGTTCTTCTGCATGCTCCCCCACTTCCCTGATCGCCTCAACTCCCCTGGGCATCGTTTCTGGATGGGCTGGTGGGGATACTTTTCGGTACGCAGGCGCACGATGCGAGTCAGACGCCAGGCAAGGCTGGAGGGGACACGCGAAGCGTCAACCATGTCTGTCCTGATGCGTCTCTGCCCTCCTCCCTCTCCCCCGTGCCTTTTCAAGCTCCGCACAAGCCCCCTGGCAAGTCTCGTGAAGCTTCCGTGGGTGGAGCCCTTGGCTATCCGCAACCCCAGACCCTGGATTCTTCTGGAGCTGGAGGCCCCTCGGGGGCTGGATGAGAGGAGTCCTCGAGCGTCCCCGACGTTCACTATCCCACCCGAAGTGTGGAACAATTGTAGGTGCGGGGTGGGTGTCGCTCCTGGGGCCCCACTTCTTCAATCCCTCGCTCCTTCTCTGCGTCAATCCGAAGCCGTTAGGCTCAAGCCAGGTCAGCTGGAGGTTATCTCAGGTCTCTACGCCTCCTGGGTGTCTGCTGTCGCATGCACCATTACTTCACATCATGGAGTGGAGCTGCCAAGACGTCCGAGGCGAGCCGAGCGACCCAGGTCCAGCGTCACCGCGGTCAAGATGCCGCAGAAAGTCAGGGTCGGGCCATTACGCGATGAGGTCGGCGGGTGGTGGACTCAACTGCACGCCCTCTTGAGTGCGCTGTTGCTCCACCGCTCGAAGGACGCCGGGGCCAGGCAGCAGGAGCGCTGCGCCACGGCGTGCCAGCGCCACCTGGACGACGGACCAGAACACGTGCAGAGGGTGCTCCGGGATGTGACGTTCAAGACCCGCCGTGGGGCGGGGGCGAGTGGGAGCGGGCGGTCAGGGCTGTCGGTGCCATTGCTTGGCCGATCCTGAGCAGATGCGAGGCCGTCATCAAACGCGTCATGGGCAGGGCGCAGGTCAGGTGGCGCAAACATGGATTAGCGATCCATGGATATGGCGAGCCGTCGCCAACTCCATGGATCGGGGGTGCCCTCCCCAAAATTCGGCCGGTGCCGCCTCGCTCGGCGGCGGAAATTCGCGAGTTCCCTTGGAAACGGGACCCGTCGCTAATCCACGCCCCCTTGATCCATGTCCGCGATCGCCTGCGCAGGGGAGGTAGAGGTAGAGGTAGCGCGCGAGTTCGGTCCGGCGGGACCGGCCCTCATAGGGCGGCGCGGGGGGGCCGGAGCCCTCAGGAGACGTGTTGGGGGCAGGAGTCGGAGCCGGAGCCGGAGTCGGAGAGATGGATGGAAACCGGAACCGGATGGGAGCCGGAGAGTGGGAACCGCCTGCGCAGGGGAGGGCTGCTCAAAGAGTTCCACAGATCGGGCTCGTCACAGGGAAGGCGCAGGATTCCCGACGGCCCCGGCCCCGCCGACGCCCGCGGACCTGCCCCCCGCCTCCTCCGCAAGGAGGGTCCTCCTGCGGCAGGGCGGCCTGGATGGCCCGCCGCCCCGACAGGCCGTTGGCGAGGTCCAGGCGGTCGCCGGCGCGCACGACCCGGTCCTCTGGGGTGGGAAGGAGGCAGAGGATGGCACCCCTTACGTTTTAGAACCCCCAACAAGGTTTTTAGACCCCCCCCCAAATAGGGAGACTATTTACTCTGGTGGCTTGATGGAAGGACTGGGGTCCCACCAGTGGGGGGCAACACAGATTTCCCAACCATTCTGTGGTGTTGGGCCCTCGATTTGAAAGGACGGTCCCCGCGTCTCCTCCTCCTCCTCCTCCTCCTCCTCTCCTCCTCCTCCTCCTCCTCCTCCTCCTCCTCCTCCTCTCATCTGCTCCTCCCTCTCCTCCCTCCTTCCGTCACCCCCTCACTTTGGCACACCCCTCGCACGTTCCGCGGCCTCAGAGGGAGCTCCACCCAAGGCCCCAATGGCTGCGTTCACATGCCGCCCACCTCCACTTTGGCACACCGCTCACACGTTTCGTGGCCCCAGAGGGAGCTCCACCCAAGGCCCCAGTGGCTGCGTTCACACGCCGCCCCCTATCCACTTCGGCACACCCCGCGCACGTTTCGTGGCCCCATAGGGAGCACACCGAAGGCCCCAATTGCTGCGTTCGCGTGCCAGCTCCCATCTACTTTGGCACGCCCCTCACGCGGTCCGTGGCCCCAGAGGGAGCTCCACCGAAGGCCCCAGTGGCTGCATTCGCATGCCGTCCCCCCTCCACTTGGGCACACCCCTCACACGCTTCATGGCCCCATAGGGAGCCCCACCGAAAGCCCCAATGCCATGGTTCACATGCGCTTCCCCCGCCCAGTACCGCGTTGCGTGGCCCCATAGAGGGGGCCCACCGAAGGCCCCAATGGCGGCGTACGCATACGTTTCCCCGACCTAATACAGCGCTTCGTGGCCCCATGGTAAACCCGACCGAATGCCCCAGTGGCGGTGTCCACATGCGTCTCCTCCACCCAGTACCGCGGTTCGTGGACTCACAGGGAGCTCCACCGAAGGCCCCAGTGGTGGTGTCCACATGCGTTCCCCGACCCAGCACAGCGCTCCGTGGCCCCATAAGGTTATCCACCGAAGGCTCCAGTGGCGGTGTTCGCATGCGTCTCCCCCCCCCAGTACAGAGCTTCGTGGCCCCATAAGCAGCTCCACCGAAGGCCCCAGTGGTGGTGTTCGCATGCGTCTTCCTCACTCAGTACAATATTTCGCGGCCCTATAGGGAGCTCCACCGAAGGCCCCAATGGCGACGGTCGCATGGCGGCCCCGCTCCATCTCGCGGCACAGCCCTCACACGTTTCGTGGCCCCATATGGAGCGCCACCAGAGGCCCCAATGGCTGCGCCCGCATGCGTTCCCGCCCCATTTCGGGACACCCTTTACACGTTTCGTGGCCCCCTGGAGAGATCCACCGACGGCGAAGCCCACAACGGTGATACTCACAACTGCATATGGTTGGGCCCTTCGCCAAGATATTTTGTCCGCTGCACCCGTCGCACAACAACGAGGAGGAGCAGGAGGAGGAGGAGGAGGAGGAGGAGGAGGAGGAGGAGGAGGAGGAGGAGGAGGAGAGGGGGAAGGAGGAAGCGGTTGCAGGACCTGTCCGAATCACCGCCGAGTGACAATGGGGGGATCAAAACTAAAGACCTCCTGGGGTTACTCGACGGATGCAGAGGCCTCGCAGATGGGATCCAAATAGATAAGGTCGAAAGATCGCGCCGCATCGCCGATGCATTGGCGATACATCACCGATGCATCCGCATTGCATCCGCGACGCTGGCGATGATTGCGTGAAGAGAACGGTACTGCGCGAAGAAAATCGGCGCACGACCCTGCTCTCTGGAGGAGGGAGGATAGGAGAAGAGACAACTGCAAAAGCATGAACATTCGGAGGTTCGCGCGAATTTCGTGGAACTGCGCTCGACCCCCCTCCCTGGCGCCCCCTGCCTAGCGCGCGGAGCGCGCCAGAGGCGGCGCCAGGGGGGCCCAGCGCCGATTCCAAGACATCCGCGCGGAGCTAAGAGAAAGTATGATTATGTCGTCTTCTGATCGTCGACTTGAGGGAGGATCCTTATCCTGTCCTGCCAGCTGTACAGACTGGCGCGCACGAGACAGACGACGGCGGGGAAGACGACGCCTGGGAGGTCTTTGCAAGAACGATCGATCAAGCCCAATTACGCGGCCGCTCTGCCGGATGGGCCGGAGCAGCTTGCGGTGAGCCCGAATAAGCCGAATTAGTCCAAACTAAAAGGGATTATGAGCGGGATTATACCGGATTAGCCTGGTTGCCCACTGCAGATGTACCAGCGCCGATGCTGAATTCAACACGCGAGGATATGCATCCTGAGCGGAAAGAAGAGATGGAGGACGAGGAGGAGAAGGAGGGGAAAAAGGAGGTGGAGTAGGAGGAAGATGACGAGGAGAAGGACGAAGATGAGGAGGAGGACGAGGAGAGGGAGGAGGAGGAGGAGGAGGAGGAGGAGGAGGAGGAGGAGGAGGAGGAGGGGAGGAGGAGGAGGAGGAGGAGGGAGGAGGAGGAGAGGGGCGGAGGAGGAGGAGAGGAGGAGGAGGAGGAGGAGGAGGAAGAGGATGAGGAGGAGGAGAAGGAGGAAAGGGAGGGGGAGGAGGAGGAGAAGGAGAAGGCGGACGAGGCGGGAGATGAGGAGGAGGAAGAGGTGGAGGAGGTGGATTATGAGGGGAGGAGGAGGAGGAGGAGGAGGAGGAGGAGGAGGGAGAGTAGGAGGAAGAGAGAGAGGAGCAGGAGGAGGAGGAGGAAGGAGGAGGAGGAGGAGGAGGAGGAAAAGAATGACGAGGATTAAAGGCAGGTAGGAGGAGGAGGAGGAGGAGGAGGAGGAGGGAGGAGGAGGAGGAGAGGAGGGTGAGGAGGAGGGGGAGGAGGAGGAGGGGAGGAGGAGGGGAGGAGGAGGAGGGGGAGGAGGAGGGGAGGAGGAGGGGGAGGAGGAGGAGGAGGAGGAGGAGGGGAGGGGGAGGAGGAGGAGGATGATGAGGAGGAAGGAGGAGGAAGGAGGAGGAGGGAGGAGGAGGAGGAGGAGGAGGAGGAGGAGGAGGAGGAGGAGGAGGAGGAGGAGGAGGAGGAGGAGGAGCGCGACTCTCATCGCGCCCTCGCGCCGCCCCCCTGGACAGGGACAGATCTGCGGCCAGCCCAGTCCAGCCCGTGCGCGACGCGCGACGATCAGCAGTCTTCGCGCCCGGGCCTGCTGGCATCATTTGGCCAGTCTTCGCGCCTTCGGGGGTGAACGAACGGGGAGGATGACTTGGCATCGAATCGGGGAAATCGGATCGAATCAGAATGTGCGTCGGATCGGTCTGCATCGGCACGGAATCGAAATCAAGTCGGGTCGGCTGCGCAAGGAAGAACAACAACGCAATGCGAACATCGGAGTCGTATCGGACCGTCAGAAGATCGGGGCATAATCGGATCGAGCTGACCTGAATCCGATCGATCGGATCGAAATGGACCCTGGAAAGGAGAGTAACGCGAGGGGGTAGCGACTCGGTCAAGCGCAGCTGGACGTGCCCACGCCACCTGGCGCCCGAGGCGCCCGATCACCGAGGAGAGAACCCGATCAGTGGGCCTGACGCTGGCCGCATGCAGCAGACTCCGCACGGCAGGCTCGTGCCATGACGATCCCAGCGATGCGTTGGCTTCTGGCCCCGTGTGGATCCTCCAACCTTGAACGATCGGCGGCTGTCCCATCTGACTACCTACCAGACCACCCCAACCCAACCCGAAGGCCCGAATTCGACCCGAATTTCGGGTTGGGGGGGGTACGGATCCCATGTGTTTTTTCGATGTTCCCCGACCCCCCCCCCACTGGAAATCGAGGATAAATTTGGGCCTTTGGGTTGGGTTGGGGTGGTTTGGTGGGTGGTGATCATCGCCAGGTCGCTCAATGTTAGGTGGCTCTGGACCGCCGGCAGTGTCCAGCCTTTGAACGCCCTGTCGACACGACGCCGTCCTGCCGTGCCCGCCCTTTCCCTAAGCCCACCAGGAGGAGGAGCAAAAAGGGGAGGAGGAGGAGGAGGAGGAGGAGGAGGAGGAGGAGGAGGAAGAGGAGGAGGAGGAAGATGAGGAGGACCAGTGTAAACCCAAGAGTCATCAACGATGTTGGAATCAACCCTCCCTCCATGGCTCCCTCTTCCCAGGCCCCTACAAGGGTTCAGCCCTACTGAGGGAACTGCCTCGTTGAAAGACAACCCTCTGAAAACCCTGTAGCATGCTAGACATTGCTCTCGGGATTATAACGCCACTGGTCAACCTTACTGTTGCGCCTTGACGATCCTGGATCGTGCCAGAACACCATTCCTGGAACTTCAGCACCGCGAGCCAACGTAAATTAGGGGAAAACAAACCTACCTCGCCTTTGACCACCCTCGCTTCCAAGAGATACCAACCGATGCCAAATTGCAGCCTGTACTGGTCAGGCCGCTGAGGAGGCGCGTGGTATGGCTTGGTTTTGCCTGGAAGCGAAAGCGGGGTAGGTAATTCACGCTCTGATAAATGTTGCACCCCTTCAAAACACCATTCCTGATACAATGGCCATGGGATTCGTGAAAGAACCGCCCTAAATGCGTGAAACTCTTGCACATGCTTAACGCGAATGCACGCGGCGCTAAAACGAGACTCCCATTTTGAAAACGGACCGCCCTCAATCCGTGAAACTTTTGCAAATGCTCGGAACGAATGTGCGCGGCGCTTAGGCGAGAACCGCATGTTGAACACCACCTGCCCTCAACCAATGAAACTCTTGCAACTGTTTAAGACGAATGCGCGCGGCACTAAAGCGAGAACCATGTTTCTTGAAAACGGTCCGCCCTCAATCCGTGAAACCCTGGCAAATGTTTAAAACGAATGTGCGCGACGCTAAGGCGAGAGCCACATGTGGCTGAAAACCACCCGCCCCCCATGTGTGAAACTGTTGCCAATGTTTACCCGTCAGGGTCATAAATGGTGAGGATGTCACAACCGAAACGCCGGGCCCGCCCTAAAAACTGGCCTCGGGCTGCGACAGGCAGAATTTATTCAGAAGGAAAGGAGAAGGAGGAGGAGGAGGAGGAGGAGAACGAGGAGGAGTACGAGGACGAGGAGGAGGACAAGAAGTAGGAGGTAGGGACACTGGGGGTCGGCCACTGACCACCCAGCGAAGCCTGGCCAGTCCCAACCGTGGCCCAGGATCGGTGACTAGCGCTTCTGGCCGGGCCAGGGGCATGCAGCAGCCGAGCCTCGGCCCCGCTGCGGCCCTGCCAGGACCGGGGGGGGGTGATCGGCGAGCCCCCCCGAGAGAAGGAGTGGCAACAGGGAGCAAAGAGGATACAGTCGGGGCCCTGAGGAAGGAACCCTTTTCGTTGGGGAGGGGCTCCGCGCTCCTTACGTGTTTCACAGCTTGCCTCAGGCGTTCCTTATGTTTTCGACAGGACATCGAAGGTTAACGTATGGTAGAAAGGGGCCTCGTTCCTTATTTAGGGTTCCTTAGGTCAAGGCGCCGACTGTAATGCGGGGGGTGGGAGACAAGAAAGGAGCACCTGCGAGCAGATGGTTCGATGTCTTGCTGATTGGACAGCTGAGCGCAGCTAGAAAAAAGGACGGGAGCTACGGAAGCTGGCCTGGCGATCGCTGCGAGAAGTGCCTCCCAGTGGCCCTGCGGGGGGATTCCACTGGCCTGCAGAGGGACCGCACTACGGGGAAAGGGAGATCCCGAGCAGCGGCAGCAGGTAGGAGGGAGGAGAAAAAGAGAGAGAGAGAGAGAGAGAACGAGAGAGAGAGAGGGAGGGTGTAGAAGGACGGAGAAGGACGATGGAGGGCGAAGTGGAGGGAGGAGGGCGAAGGAGGAACGAGGAGGGGAAGGACGAACCTCAGGCGGCAGGCGTGACGAGGGACAATATCGGAGGGAAGGAAACGGAAGGAAGCAAATCCTCCTCGCCCGCCGCCATCCGCTTCAAGTTCCAC